AGGCACCTTCCAAGGGGAGGGTTGAACCTCTAGGACTGTACTGTCAACCTGGCAGTCACTTGCCACATGTGCTATTTAAATTAATTAAATGCTTTTTTTTTTGAGACGGAGTCTTGCTCTGTCGCCAGGCTGGATTTGCAGTGGTGCGATCTCGGCACACTGCAACCTCTGCCATTCTCCTGCCTCAGCCTCCCGAGTAGCTGGGACTACAGGCGCCCACCACCATGCCCAGCTAATTTTTTTGTATTTTTAGTAGAGAAGGGGTTTCACCATGTTGGCCAGGATGGTCTCGATCTCTTGACCTTGTGAGGATCTCTTGCTCTGTCGCCAGGCTGGATTTGCAGTGGTGCGATCTCGGCACACTGCAACCTCTGCCATTCTCCTGCCTCAGCTCCCGAGTAGCTGGGACTACAGGCGCCCACCACCATGCCCAGCTAATTTTTTTGTATTGTAAGAGAGAAGGGTTTCACCATGTTGGCCAGGATGGTCTCGATCTCTTGACCTTGTGACCTCCCGCCTTGGCCTCCCAAAGTGCTAGGATTACAGCATGCAGCAGCACCGTGCCTGCTGGCCTACACTTTTTAAAATACTAAAAATTCAGTTTCCCAGTTGCACTAGCTGCATGTCAAGTGCTCTGTGGCCCAGTGGCTACCATATTGGACAGCACAGATCTAGGGAAGATGGACAAGAAACTAGAAAACAAGTAAACACATGAGAGTTTCCCAGAGCAGTGAGAAGCTATGAAGAAGTCCTGAAGGTGTGAGCTTGGCTAGCAGGTAGACAGCAAGATATGGGGACAAGGCTGGAGAAGCTGTGGAGACTGGGCCATGCCAGGCCAGATGGACATCCACTCTTGCTGAGGCCGCGCCTGGTACTGTCCCATCCTCCTCACCCTCTGCCCCTCAGCTGCTGGATCCAGCCCCCACATTGTCCCTTTCTTTGCACATCCTCCAGTTCAGCAGGGCCAGTGGGCTGGGTGGGGCTGCATTAACAGTCAAGAAGACCTGGGTTCCAGGCCTGTTCCCGTGCGACTTTGTGCTGTCTGATTCCCAGAATGGTGCACTTTGAATCATAGGATGTTCTAGTGGTCACAGTCTAAAACGGATTGCAGAGCTGCATTCTCTCTGAAAGCTCTAGGGGAGAATCCATCACTTTTTTGAGACACAGTCTCACTTTGTTGCCCAGGCTGGTCTCAAACTCCTGGCCTCAGCAATCCTCCTGCCTTGGCCTCCCAAAAGCTTGGTTATCAGGTGTAAGCCACCGTGCCCAGCCCACCTCTGCCGGCTTCTGGAAGCCTGCCTGCATCTTTGGCTCATGTCTCCACATCACTCTGATCTCTGCTTCTGTCAGCACATCTCCTCTGACTCTGACCTTCCTGCCTGGTTTTATTTATTTATGTATTTATTTTTGAGACAGAGTCTCACTCTGTTGCCCAGGATGGAGTGCAATGACACAATCTGGCTCACTGCAACCTCCACCTCCAGGTTCAAGATTTTCCTGTCTCAGCCTCCCAAGTAGCCGGATTACAGGCGCACCCACACACCCCAGTAATTTTTGTATTTTTAGTAGAAACGAGGTTTCACCTATGTTGGCCAGGCTGGTCTCAAGCTGCTGACCTCAAGTGACTGCCTCGCCTTGGCCTCCAAAAAGTGCTGGGATTACGTAAAGGTGTGAGCCACCATGCCTGCCCATGCCTGTTTCTTTCTTTTCTTTTTTTTTTTTTTTTTGAGACAGAGTCTCATTCTGTCACCCAGGCTGGAGTGCAGTGCACGACCTCAGCTCACTGCAAACTCTGCCTGCTGGATTCAAGTGATTCTTCAGCTCAAAGACGACTGAAAAATCCTAGCCTCCCAAGTAAGCTGGCATTACAAGCACCATAGCCACCACACCCCAGTCTAAGTTTTTGTATTTTTAATAGAGACGGGTTCACTGGTTTGGGCCAGCGCTGGTCTCAAATCCCAATCTTCAAGTGATCCAACCTACCTTGGCCTTCTGAAAGGGCTAGATTACAGGTGTGGAGCACACCATGCCCAACCCATGCCTGTTTCTTAAAGGAACCGTGTGTGACTAGCTTGTGCCCATCCAGAATAATATCGTTGATAGTCTCACCGTCTCAAGATCCTTAATCACATTTGCAAATAACCACACTCTTGCCAAGTTCCTTTTGACAGGGTTGTGGGCATATATGGGGACCTATTATTCTGCCCTCCATGCTTGATGTCAGCCAGAGCTTTTGTGCTATGGACCTGTGGACCCAGCCCTCCGAAAGCCCTCCTCTACAACCCTTGTCTTTCACTTGCTCTGCTTCAGCCACACTGGATCTTTGCCAATCCCTCAGCACCCAGGTCTCAGGGCAGCCAAGGTCTTGGGAACTCCCCGACAGGCCGGTGGCCGGGGGCTTAGGAAACCCTCGCCAACCTTTCTGCTCCATGGCAGGAACAGGAAAGACTGAGGCCCCAGGCCAGAAGATAGGGAAGGGACTTACCTAAGTTTTTGGACTAATAGTTGCCAGCGATGGCCCCATTTTACAGCAGGGGAAACTGAGTGCCCAAGCAACTGCACCCTAAGGCCACCTTTCTTGTGAGTCCTTGCCCTCTGTCCCTGAGCGGACGTGCCCCGTTATTGACTCTGAGAAGCCTCTATCCAGGTCTAATCATTTGCTTCATGCTCAATGGAAATGATGGCCTATGGCCTGTTGGCCTCTTTGGTGGTCTGAAGCCCTTCAGCCACCTGCCCAGCAGTCCACACTTGGGTAAGACATGGGTGAAGGGCAGAGCAGGTTTTTGCAGAGGCTTACATTTGACATAGGAATTCCTCTGTTTTTTTTTTTTGAGACGGAGTCTCGCTCTGTCGCCCAGGCTGGAGTGCGGTGGCGCGACTCTCGGCTCACTGCAAGGCTCCGCCTCCCAGGTTCCCCCATTCTCTGGCTCAGCTCCTGGAGTAGCTGGGACTACAGGCGCCCACAACCGCGCCCGGCTAGTTTTTTTGTATTTTTAGTAGAGACGGGGTTTCACCGTGGTCTCGATCTCCTGACCTTGTGATCCGCCCGCCTCGGCCTCCCAAAGTGTTGGGATTACAGGCGTGAGCCACCGCGCCCGGCAGGAATTCCTCTGTTAAACAGTTGGACGGTACTGCCCTCAGACCTGGAATAATGGGCCTTGCCCTGGTCCTGCTTTTTGGAAGGCCTCTCTAGCCAGGCAGCAGTGGCCCTCAGGTATAACCCCAGCACTTGGAGACCAAGGCTGGAGGATCGCTTGATCCCAGGAGGCCAGGCTGCAGTGAGCTGTGACCTTTGTCGCGAAAAAAAAAAAAAAAAGCAGTCATGGTGGCTCATGCCTGTAATCTTAGCACTTTTGGGAGGCCAAGGCGGGCAGATTACTTGAGGTCAGGAGTTCAAGACACAG